ACATTGGAAGCCAAGGAAGAATCAGTGATGGCGGCATACTTAGAAATAGTGTGTTATGGAAAAATATTTGTGAAAATAAGATGAATTTTCCTCCACCTTGCCCCTTACCCGGATTAAACGTCGATTTACCATATGTTTTCTTGGGAGATGGTGCTTTTGCATTAAGCGAGAACTTAATGAAGCCATATCCTGGCGATCATAAATTGAATACTCCCAAACGTATTTTCAATGAAACATTGTCAAGGTCTCGTGTATTGTCTGAAAATACTTTTGGAATATTAACTTCCAGATTCCGATTTTTCAAAAAGCCAATCGAATTGATGCCCGAAAAAGTGACGCAGTTAACATGTGTACTTCTACACAATTTTCTTATGAAAAGTTCTAGTTCAAAAAACATTTATAACCCGTCGGGCACTCTTGATAAATATGATAACGGCGTTTTTATTGAAGGGGCTTGGAGGCAACAAGTACCTCAAAACTGTGCTATTCGATGTGTACCACATATTGCTCGTCGATCACCGATTAGTGCGACTAAGATTAGAGATAATTTCACTGAATATTTTGTGAATTTAAGAAACAAATAAAATATTGTATGACAAGTAATAAGTAATAGTTATTTTATTGAATGTACCGTGTCTTGACTGTTTATGGTAGGGTGGCAGTCATATATTTGACCAAGAAAAGTTTCCATAAAGCTGTATGCAAACCATATAGGCTTGTATATATAATCGCCCCCAGCACCGCTCCTAATGGACGCCTTGTTCCTTCTTAAGTGACCCCGGAAAGTGGCCATTAAAGAATCTTTTTTCTTCTTTAATTCTGCCACAGATTTGCCTGTAGATTCAGAGATTCGATTCCAGGCGTCAGCTAATTTCTCTTTTCTTTTATGATTTTCGTCAGAGGGATCCCACAAACAAGGTTCGCTCTGAAAAAATTCCTAAAATCATTTGTCCACTCCATTTTAAAAATAAACAATGTCAACCAATATAGCCGCAAACGAAAACTAATCACGCCACAAATTCCACTGTACAACAAGAGACCAGCGTGTGCCGAGGTCGCCCGAATATACCATGTCCACGCTCGCGAGACCTCCCACTTACGCTCTCGGTTCCGTTGACTCGCACTGGGAGACCGCTTCTACACCGAGCGCTCCGAGGGCAAGGCGAGAGGGTCTAGGGCGAGGCGGGAATAGTAAGTAACTCTCGCGCTCGTCTCATCTCGGATAGCCTCGGCGAGCGTGTACTGCCGGCATAACACTACGTACTGACTGCATGAATGTTCGGTGTGTAACATGTTACATTACGCCTCGTATCGTTGGTCAGTACCCACCTTTGAGCGTTGTTTCTGTATCACTGTATCACTGGTTGCATAGCATAGCATATATATTTTGTTTTGATGTCGGTCGCACCCGGCCGCTTTGATTTAAATCATTTAATTTTTCACTTTTTTAAACTTTTTAATTATGTTCAAGTTCAATTTCTCAGCAGATAATACGGCAGAAGCAGAAGAACAACCCAAAGGTAATTTGTTATGCAAATTCCTTATTTCGATAACCTCACTTTCTTCTCTACAGTTATTCAAACTGAAGAAACATGGGAAAAAAGCAAACAAATACAATTTAAGGACAGTAGCATTTTACAAGACATTTTAAAAAATGCCTCAACTATCAATTTACCAAACTACCCTGATTGCAAATACATAGACCCATCAGAAATTGTGGACATACTTCAGGACAGTGAAAATGAGACCCCAGTGCTAAAAGCAGAGCAAAATCATTTAGATTTGATACCCGCTGTATACGAGGGAGGTTTAAAAATTTGGGAATGCACATATGATCTACTAAGTTATTTAAGTTCAGAAAAAATACAACTTGAAGGTCTAAAGGTACTTGATCTAGGTTGTGGCTCAGGTATTCTAGGGATCTATAGTTTGTCACTTGGGGCCACATGTTACTTTCAAGACTATGTAAGTGTAGTTTGAACAATCTTCTTCATATGCCCCTTTTCTGGATGTTGCACAAAATATCTAAAAATAGCCTAGTAAAATACAGGATCGGATTATTTTGCCTTACATAACATGTATAATTATATAATTAGTTTATTTTTCAAATATTATATATTCCAGAATGAAGATGTTTTACAATATTTTACAATACCCAATGTTCTAGTGAACAACAAAGGATTATTAGAAAGAAGCAAATTTTATTCTGGTGATTGGGAATCGTTTGCAAACTTAATTGGTGATAGCTTGACAGAAGATGAAAAGTTTGACTATATTTTCACCTCGGAAACTCTGTACAATGTACAGTCATATCCAAAAATACATAAAGTATTAAGTTACTTTTGAAAAAAAGTGGCAAGATGTATCCTTTAGTAAGGCATATGATGATAAACTTTTTAAAAATTCTTGCATATCTGAGCTTGGATGCAGGAGCTGATTTGAGATGATGCACTGTGTGTTAAGCCCCAAAACTGAGTTCCAGAAGCCCAATAGAAAAAAAATTGAGTGAATCGTGATGATTTTGTCTCCCCTCCATTTCCACAATTATTACCATATGAGGTTACTCTGCATCACATAAGGAGTCAATTTGATCAATGAGACCTACAGTCACCCTAGATAGCTTACTTTCTACCCCAAAATTGCTGAATTTTCAAATTATATTTTCTTTAATGTCACAACAGATATCTTGCAGCAAAGAGTTTCTACTTTGGTGTAGGAGGTGGCATTCCATATTTTAAAGAATATTTAGATAAGAACAAAGTTTTCAAATACCTCACAGTTTCAGAACATTCAAGTGGAGTTAAAAGAGCTATACTAGAAATAAAATTCATCTAATATAGTATGCAGTTTTATTGCACTAATGGTTTATCATCTATTTGGAAGACATTGATTATCAAGTTCTTAATATTAATAAGGTAAAATGTAATGCAGCAAATACTGTACAGATGTAAAGATAGCAAAAACAAAATATAAGTATAAAGATGAAATTTTGGATCAAATCAGGTATAATAATAATGTTTATTGAAAAAAAAAATACAATTTATGAACAAAAGAAACACGCATATTCTGCAATAATATACACGACACCACAAAAAGCAATGCTTGTGCATGGGGAAATATACTTATTGAGGTCATACACTGTCAACTTATCATTGCCCTTCTAGTACATGTTTACCTATATGACATTGAATATCTATAGAAGAAGCTATTAAAATATACAAGGCATTCAACATTTTTTAATAGTAAAAGCCTACATCTGAAAAACAGAAATATGAAAGAATTACCTAACCAACAGTTTACTGATTTATTAAAACATAGGTATATACTTTTTAAGTGATACTAAAGACAAAGAAAAGAGTAATGAACTTTATCGACAAAAAAACAATAAATGAGTCAAACGTTTTATATAATAAAATTGGTAATAAACTTTTAAATTTCAACATGACCCTTTAAATGTAAATGAAAAATTTTACGTATTTTCTATGATTTTGTGAACTTGTTGTTTCAAGTAAGAACAATATATTTAAGTTCCAAATACCTAGGTGAGATTTAGTATTTTAAACAATCCAATTCTAATATGATTATTATGCTTTTGCCATCTTTCCATATCTTAACCAACTCTACACCCGTCTCTAACAAACACTGATATCCCTCGCACAATACATTGCCTAAAATTACCTACAAAAATTGCCTAAATTTGTTCTTATAATAATGGAATTACTTAATGAACTGATGCTAAGGTTCTGGATCTTTTGAGTCAGAGTTAGAAAATCAACTTTTTGCAATATATGAAAAAGAGCAGAAATTTGAACTGGAGATTGTTGCTATTTACAAAAAAATTAAAATAGGTGCCGGGAAAAGACCAGAGTTACGGAAACAGTCGTTCATATATCCAACCATCTTCACCACGATGCGTCAGTATACCATCTGGTTCATCTGTCTTTGGTCTGCGAAATCTGATTCTATCATGGATTCTATCTGTTTGACCTTGCCAGAATTCTATGGTATAAGGTTTAAGAATATATCCCACCCCTGTAAAAAAATGAATACTGATACATATTATTTGACCGCGGGGGAACATTTGACCTATAAAGTACATCCTTAAACATTATCTAGTATTGGCCTTGAAAAGTAACCTTCAACAGATTTAACTTTAAAGTGGGCAACCTAGTCGATAGTTTTTAGTTCTAGAAGCTTCCCCTCTCTGTCCTGTGGTTTGAAAATCTATTTTCAAGGTTACATCTCAAAAAACGACGGACTCCATAGCAACATAAACGCGCTCAAGTCGAGTGTTTCAAGGTCAAATGATATCAATGTTGGCACCCCCAGGTCAAGCTTGGAATTAGTACATAAGGTCCACTCCCACTTGGAACATTTACTATCTACTTCCATATTATAAGAATCTATATTTACCATAAAGGAGGGTCTAGGCACCTCTCCTTCTTTATACTTCTCCTTCAGTTGTGATGCAATCTGTTCTATCCCTCATTTCTGCTAGATACGATTTGCTTTGATCACTACATAGAGCTCCAATCTGACTCGATAAGGTCTGTTTCTAAAGTACTGATCTGCATCCTCAAAAGGAAGCTTCTCTACATCCCCCTCAATTCTTACCTAAAAAATATTTTGCAATTATATCTTCTTTTTTACCTTATCAATGGGATTTTACAATGTATTATATTATCTGAAAATGATATCTAGTATTTATTTGTTATTACCGATCTACTATAATGTTCCCAGTAAAAGGTCAAAAGCAGCTCTCGGATTTCTTCTCTGCCTATAAAAGCAAAACAATTAAAATGTTTCTGATTTCATGTTCTCAAAACGACTAAACTGTTGTCCTTTCCGACTACTATAGTGTGTGAAAAATATGAAACCTTCTTGCTATACCCTTTTAATAGGACAAATCTTGCTGATGGATATCCATCCCTGAAATACAACATTTCAAATGAAAGGTGAGAAGATCAACATTTTATTGTACTAGACAAGATAAAAATGAAGCTAAATGTTTCTTCTACAACCATCCCAAAAAGTTGAAATTTGCTGCTGTAGAGCAATAAAGTAGCAAAAACACTTGCTAAAAATCTATATCTGTATCAAGAGATCTTTGCCTTGTGTGTCAAATGAATCATGTGACAAAGTAATATTCTGATTAATTATATTATTTTGTGACGAATAAAGTTTGATATTTTATCTCTTGACAGGTAACAAAATGTCACTTTTTATGAAATTACTTTTATCCACGGAAAAAAAAAATGAGTACTTTTTTCCCGGATATTGTACAAATGATTTAGCTGGCAATGATTTTTGTGACACTCCTTTGGCCACTTCTACTAATTTCGGTGGAGTCTAAGAAAACTCAGATTCAGACATTTTTTACTTGGTAGTATTAAAAATCACTTCTAAACAACCACTAGGTTCACAATTTTTAAATCAAATCACAAAGTTATACTGACAGCTATTTGATTACCTTGAAAGTTTCCTTAGCAATGCAGGTCTAATTATCGCTATAAGTACAACGTAGCCTACTAATTTCAAAGTTCAAATTTCACATTGTAATTTTCTGACATATATTGTGATAATATAATTTTCCAATATTAAATGGACGTTTTTCCCGTTAGAGAAAAAAATTGTGTATGATACACTGGAAAAATACTAGATTTTAGCTTTCAGTTCTAGTACTTTTTTCCCTTGTATGATAATAACTATATTTCCAACAATAAACTTCAATAATCCAGAACTGTCATTTACAGTGAACCAGATCAGTGTAGCTCATAGGTAGGAAACATCCTATCATTAATTTGTTTTAATGACTATGACTGATAGTTTCTCACAATTAGAAATTGCTTGGTGGAAATAACTGGTTGTGAAATGTAATTATGTTTGACAAAAAAACGACATACTTTGTGCATGTTGACAGACACATTGCATTGGGTTCAACTGTCCTAGTGTCGGTCTTTCACCACCGGGAACCATTTGTGGAACAAATCCAATGGTTCTTTTACCTCAATGTTGTCCTCGAGGAAATAATCATTTTTGTCGTGATATGGATGGCGCATACCTAAACAGAGTTTCCTGATCATTTTAGGATATAGTAAAAATCCTTTTGGTAAGGTTTCAAAGACATGGGTACTAAAAAAAGAGATTATTCCCTTATAATATGATAATGATCTTCACAACACCATTGAATCTATCAGCTTAAAAAGATTGAACTGTTCAAATAAATAATACTAGTAATATGCCTCAATCACCCATTGTGAATAGGTATGATATATATAAATTACTAAAATATGAGCAAAATCTTAAGACACATTTTCAACATTAAACATGAACAAGTGTTATATCTTTTTCAAATGAATTCCTTCTTGCGATTATTGATCTACAATATTTCCTAATAATATCGTTTTTACGTACCTGAGATATCCATGATTGGCGTCCTGTTGAATGTTCTTTGAAGTAGAGAGGAAAATGTATTACCTTGAAGGCTGAGATAAATAATTGTTTGTTTAACGTTTAATTGTAATATTTGTGCAAGTAATTTACCGGATTTTAGAAAGTCAAACAGAGGAATATGCATAGGGTCTAGAGCGCATACAATATCACATGTGGTAATCAAAAACTGGTCGAATCGAAGATACTTATTAGTTTATCTATAGTTGATAAACTTGTCAAAACCACATACTCTTGCGCAATACTAATGAATAAAATCATTTAAATTTAATTCCATTTTCAGAGTTTGTTTTTGTATTTTGAAATGTTGAATGTTGACCGGATAGCTACTTTGTACTTTCATTAACATCTGACTACGTTTATTTTGAAAGAAAGGCTTATTTTATTCGTCATTGTTCTTATGAGAATATGTTGCAAATGAAAATCGTTGATGTTTTATTCCACCAAAATCTTTGAAATCATTTTGCATTGTAGTTGGAAATTGTCTGAATTTCGATCCCTAAATTATACGAGAATGATGTAAACGTAGCCCATTCAAGAATCGGGTTAGTTTTAGTTAACATGTAACACATAGACAACCAGTAATTCTGTCGCTGAATTCCACTTACTCGATGTATACTCGCAGTAAGTACCTAAATCAAAATCTAGCAGTGTTGCCAACGGAGTCTTTTAAATTTAAAATTTACCAATTTACATCTGCCAAATATTCATCAATTACAAAGCATTTCAGCTGAGAAACTAAATCCAATTAGATCAATTCAGTACTCGAACGTACCTATCTCAAATTGTTTCTAAACGTCTAAAGACTTCCCGAGTTACCTCAAAAAGATTCAGGTTTTTAAATTGTTAGGTACATTATAGTTCTAAGCGTCACGGTCAGATGAGTGCCTAGTATCAATGATTTTTTGTTCCTATGAATTTTCACAGTACGCTTTATAGAATGCTATATCCCCGCGTCCAAAAAATTATCCGAGATGAACCGAGACACCCTAACGGCATCTAGAGAAATTGTAACAGCTGTTTCCTCTATTTACTATACAGGGTGTTGATTAAGTATGTAGTATGAGTAATTTTAAGACAAAAGTTCATATAAACATAGGTCCGTAAATTCTTTGTTCTCAAGATACAGGGTGTTAACCTTTAAAAAAATGGTTTTTCGTACATTTATTAAATATCCTTTGCCCGATTTTGTTGTAATTTGGCAATGGTACTTATGACACTAAGGAGCTAATTTTGCTTTGACTTGATACAATTATCAAGTTCAGTGGCGTCTCGAGCAAGATCTGAACGAATATTTGTGACAAAAAATATACACCACTAACTTTTATGCAATATTTATTATGTTCTTTGGACAAAGCCAATAGAAATACTACTTTTTGTCTCTTGAATGAAGTACACTTACTTGCAAATCACTGGACCACACAAAGAATATGGGCAAACGTTCCTGTTGGATTTTTTTTATAATTTTTATTACTAATTATGTAACAACAACAAATAAACACTAAATTAAATACATTACATTAACATCTAAACTAATTAATTTTACTATACTAACGAATAGTAAATAATAGTCAATTGTTGCCTTGGAAACGATTGCAGGATTTAGTAAACAAGTTAACAGTCCTCAACTATTTATATGCTATTAATTTATAATTTTAATAAAAAGTGTTTTAGTGGTAATTTTTTGTCCGATATTTACTAATATTGAAATGGCAGATATGCATTTCTGTTATGGAATGGCTCATGGAAATTTTAATGCTGCAAGACACATTTATCATGAAAGATTTCCTCTGCTTGTAGCTTGTAGTGCATAATAGAAGAATTTTTGTACGTCTCCATGCACGACTTTCAGAAACAGGCAGTTGTAAAAGATCGAAGGTTGTCATAGGGAGACCCGCAACGGTACGAACAGTTCAATTGAAGAAGCTGTTTTAAATGAATTGAAGCAAATGCTTATATGTACCTGTACTCGGAAAATATTAATAATAAAGAACTCAATATTACCCATGTTACAGTGTGGTAGATTTTAGAGACCAGTAGCTATATCAATATCATATGCAACGTGTGCAAGTTCTATTTCTCAGAGATTTACCTTTAAGACTAGCTTTTTCTGATTGATTACGCAGGAAAATAGTAAGGAATTCAGGTTTTCTAAGTCGAATATTGTTTATATCTGAAACTTGTTTTTCTCCTCAATTCAATTATTAACTTCGACAACAATCACGTTTGGGCCGAAAACAATCCATACTCCTTAATAGAACATAATTGTAAGAACAGTTTTCTTTTAATATTTGGGTTGGGATTGTCGGTGACTATCTCATTTTCTTCCAACTAGAGAATGGAGAAGAATATCAAAGGGTTTTAGAATTTGTTTTACCTGGACATTTAGAAGTTCCAGCTATGAAAAGATTCACTATGTGGCCAAGCAATTTTTGGATGAAAATTATCATTATCGCTGGATCGGAAGAGCAGACCCAGGAGGCTCCCTTGCTCGCCCTTAGATTATTTTATCTGGGGACACCTTAAAGCGTTGGTATATAAAACTCTCATTGAAAGTGAAAAGGATTTACGGAATAATCATTAATTCGTGTGACATAATAAAAATACGCCAGATACACTTTCAGCAGAGTGCGTAGTTCAATGATGAGGCGGCTAGTATTGAAGTCGAAGATCGCCATTTCCAACACTTGATTTAGTGATTTTTTTAATTTAGTTATTAATCTTATTTAATATTTGTTGTTGTTGTTACATAATAATAATAAAAAATTATAAAAAAAATAATTTTCAAAAGAAACTTTTCGCCATATTCCTTGTGTGATCCAGGGATATGCAATTACGTGGACCTTTTTATAGAAAACTAAGCAAGATACGAAAAAAATTTTAGAGACAAACAGTTTTATTTCCATTTGCCTAATCCAAAGAACATAATAAAAATTGCACAAAAGTCAATGGCGTACATTTTTCGACACAAATATTCGTTCAGATCGCGCTCGACACGCCACTGGACATAATAGATTTAATCAAGTTAGAGCTAAATTAGCTCCTTAATGTTATAAATACCATCGCCAAATTACGACAAAATTATGTAAAGGTTATTTAAGAACCTTACGAAAAACTTTTTCTTTAAATTTTAACACCCTGTATCTTGAGAACGAAGAATTTGCGGACCTATTTATATGGACTTTTTGTCTTGAAATTACTTAAACAATCGTATGTTAAATTTATGGTACATACATCAATTAACACTCTGTATATACTTTGAGTGATGAGGCATTAGCCTTTTTCGATAGACCGCACCTCCAGAGGAGGGGATAGTTGCAATGTTTTCGTTAGTCCACAGACGAAAGACCTAGCCTAGACCATGCTGATGAGTAGCCAAGAAGCACGAAACAGCAGTCGAATGGACGAAAGCATCATGATGTGTCTGAATAAGCTTAATTAGAATAATTTTGAATTACAAAAACACATTGGTCAAAATATAATGGAAATATGAGTTTTAGATCACAAATAAAAATAAATGCAGAAAATAGACAGTGTTTTAAATAAATTGAATTGTCCCGATTTTTGTTAGACATACAATGTGCAAGGTAGCCTTTTATTTTAGTTGTGCTGGTTTTGTGGTCACTTGCCTTTTGTGGCTGTATGATTCTAAACTTCTTGTACGGTTTGGCCACAAATATTACCGAAACTTTTCCATTAAAAGATTTATCAAGGCTTAGAAATTTTGGGTTTAGCTTCGAAAAAGAGCAAAGAAGCAACCTGGCATGACTGTCAGTAGTCAGTACTGTCAAATTAGCACTGTCCACTTGAGTGGTCATAAAATCTCTTTTTTTCGTCAACACTACTTATTTGCTGTCGCTGTCAGAAATAACGTAACGGATGATCTTCTTTTATTACATACATTATGGATGCGGGGGCCTTAGCATTAGGTTGGCCACGTTTATTAGAATGCGCTAATAAATGTCTCTATAAGTGTCCAGAAAATAGAGAAGTGCGAACTTAAGGTTAGATATTCGAAATGCACATTTTGTTCTTTAAATATTCCAAATTCAGACTTAGTAGAAAGAACAAGTCAAGGCTTTTTGTCCCAATTCTAATAGTCTGAAGTGAGGATCATACTACAAGTGCACTTGACAAAAACTTTAATTTTATTGACAGTTCTTTCAAATTCATCCTAAATTCATATTGTAGGTAATATTTTTTAAAATGCGAGTGATTGCAGATAATTACGGTGTTGGACGATTTCAAGTAATAGTACTTCTTACATAATTTGCAAAGAGCACCTCAAGCCTGATGAAGCAGATATTTCACCGGTAATATTATTGATATACTGATACAACGCTGTCACCTGGAAATCGTTGGTAATCAAGTACACCGCTTTTTTTTTCTCCAACTCACCTACAGAGAATCGGCTTTGTCACTTTGGATTCTGCATGTAAAGTGATTATCATCGGCAAAGTCGTGAATTGGATTGACCGTACAGGAAGGAGGTCGTTGATATGTAAGAGGAACGATGGAGCCAAGACCGATCCCTTGGGAACACTCGCGTTGACGTTGTGAGATGAAGAGGAGAACCCATCAATTACGACGGATATCTTGCGGCTAGAGAGGAAGTCAGCCAGCCATCTGAGCTTCCGGGAGGCCATACGATGAAAGTTTGCATTTATGCACCTACCCTTCACCTTACTTATAACAGAAAGCAGGGCTATAAACAGGTCTTAGATCCTTTTTTTTGGATGGGTTGTACGTTGTACATGTGCACATTTCCAGGAAAAAACCGGAGTGGTAAGATATCTGGAAGAGACGCTTAGTAACCTCCGCTGCACATCTCTTCAATACATCGACAGAAATAAAGTCCGGACAAAAAGCTTTGTTGATGTCGAGCGACAAAAGCACCCGTCTTACTGGCTTACCTATGCCTGAATGTGAATGTTGCTTCCCGCATAGTGTAGGGGAAACCCTTCGAATCGACGGCACTCGGGCGTTGGGGGACATCTATGGTGGAGTTGGCAGCAAAAAACTTTACAATCACTGAAACCTTATTGTTCCATCCTGGCACGAATTCGTTGGTTGTTATAATTTCTCCATTTCAAAGACTATTTTTTCACCTTGGTGTACTGAAAATTTCATGAACCCAGAAAATTTATTTTGGCCTGGCAACAATTTTAAGTTATACTACCGTCTGCGAATACACATCGTGTAGCTGCGAATATTGAGTTTGCAACTATATGGTGGCTAGTGGCTACAGGCAGGTAGCAAAAGTTTTTATTTACAATTTCCATATGCCTATGTGATTTGATTATTATCATCCTATATGTATCTCAATATTAAAATAATGTTCTCTTTTATATTTATTACAAAAACGCGGTAAGGTCATTTCTTTGCTTCGGGTGTATAATGTGTTGCCGATGTTCAGGAATGTGATAGATCGCGTCTAGAAAAAAGAACATTCGCATTTTAGGTTAAGTTTTGCGTGTACTTGTTCAACAATATCCACGTTTTGTTAATAAAATTATTATGGCAGAATCGGCGAAGGTAAGTAGAGCCATTTTTTTCGTTTATTCCTACATTTTTCAACATAACAATTATTGTATTACAATCATA